TTCTCGTAAAGTTTCAGCCTTCTAGCTTTTCCCGCTCCCGGGTTAGTAACTTTTGCGCCAAAATTTTCACTCGCCCGTAGGTAAGCCCCGGCGGTCCTAAGGAGTTGAGTTTGAAAGCTTTTGGTCGCGCGTGAGTAGGGAACATTCCCCCAAAGCCTCAACTTTCTAACTTTTTTCATTCTCGAGTTATGAATTTTCACGCCATGATTTTCGCGCGCCCGTAGGTAAGCCCCGGGCAGTCCTGGGCAGCTGAATTTGAAATCTTTTGTCATACACGGGTAGGGAACATTCCCAAAGGTTTCAGCTCTCCAGCTTTTCTCGCCCCCGAGTTATCAGTTCTCCCGCCAAAACTTTCACGCGCTCGTACGCGGGGCCCAGACACGCCTAGAGTTGATACCGCGGTCCTGGGGTGGCACTTGGCTGGGGAGCGCACTAGCAAAATTTCAGCTTCAAAGCGTGCGTGATTGGCGAGTTGAAATGCCCGGACAGACGAACACACACACACACACACACACATAAACATACACACACACACACATAAACATACATACACACACACACACACACACTGACAGGCTCAATGCAATATGCGTTTTTGTTACCTGTTGCAGTACTATAGCGCAAAAACGCATAATAACTCGGCTGGTGACTTATGGTGCTTGGGCCTTCCAGCGCTTTGCTCTATCATCTCTGCAACACTATTTCGTGGTGTCGCTTGCTGGAACTTTGCCAAACGCGCTGGGTAGCGCTGTCCAGCGACTGGCGGCTGGATCACGTGGCCGGGGGATGATGGGTGGGAAGACTAGGCGTGGTTGTGGGGAGGGGGAGGTGTTAGTTAGTAGTTGCCTAGATACAGCTCAGAGGACGCAACTGAGGCCAGGATAATGGGGAGGAATAAAGTTGTTGGTTAGGAGTTAAAGACGATAAACGGTGACAGTGGTTGGAGGTGGTGGGTGACGCGATGCGGCTCCGGAGGCAGGGATTAGAGGCAGGATACGGAAGGGGAAGGAGGGTGCTGGTCAGGAGCTTGAAGCAAGAACTGCAGATAGCAGTAAAGACGGAAATAAACCAACACGGCACTACAATGAAAAGTAAATTAAAACAAACCTGAATTTGTGAATAGAAGGAAAAAAAAAACAAAATGAAAGAACTGCAGCTTGTAACCAAAAGCAAAAGCAAACAAAAACTGAGCTTATGCAAGTAGGATTTGTTTTACAAAAACCCGTCTTCAGCATGCGGTTCTCACATTTGTGAGATTTATGCTTAGATGAAGCTGAGGCAAATAAGTTCGACAGGATTTGCTAAAACTTAAGCATAAGTGAAGCTGAGGGCAAATAAGCCCAACTGGATTACTGCAACTGTGCACAGCAGTTATACCTTTGTTTTTTGTCTTCAAAATCTCACAGGAACAAAGGCTGACTTCATCTCTAGGCATCCATTGTACGCTGTTTTTGCCCACTTCATGGAACTTTTCCGCTCTCAGCTTTACCTAAGCATCAGCTTCATAAACAGGAACGTCTGGTGGCGGGTTTTTGTGGAGCAACTTTATCTAAGCATCAGTTTCGTAAAAAGAGAGCACACTCCCTCATCCCTCCCGTTCTTCACCGTTCCCCATTCCCTCAAAATGTACGTTACTTAGTAAATCGGCAAAAGATCTACGCCATATAATTCTTATATCCATCTATCCTAGCCCCTCCTCCCTGCCTCGAACGAAACCCGCCACATACCACCCCCACTTTCGTCTGCCATATTAAAACTGCCGCCATCCACCGTGGGGCAGCCCTACCTGCCGATGGGAGAAGAAATTTTTTACAGTTTGCGCATGAGACGAGTCGAGCGAGCCGAGTTTTTGTAATTGCTAGAAAGTGCCCATTTGTGTGTGTTTTTGCATTTCTGTCACCAACTTTCATCTTGGTAACTGGTGAAGCTAGGGAGCAAAAATTTTTCACACACGTTCCCACTCATGTGTGACGCTCCATTTTTAAGCGTTTTTGCATATTTATACAAATGCAGAAACGTACTTTGTGACGACTTATGATGTTTGTGTTTGTGAACGTTTATGTGTGTGCATTTGCGTCTGCCTGTGTATTTTAACTTGACGGCTAGTGAAGCATCGAACAGAAATTTTGCCACTGGGTTCCAGGATAAACACTGCCCGAAGACGTGGTACCACTATTCACGCGCGTCCGAGCCTCATACAGGGGAGCGTAAAAATTTTAATTGGAAAGTGAAAAATGCTAACTCGAGAACTGGAAAAGAGAGAAAGCCGGAATTTTGCGGTTATGTTTCCTGTCCGCATGAAACTCAAAGATTTCAAATCCAGCCCCCAGTATGCGTGGTTCTTACGCACGGCCCCGACGCTTCCTGGCGGGGAATGGCTAACTCCGGAACCAGGAAAGCCGGGACGCTGAAATTTTCAGGAAACGTTCCCAGTCTACGCACAACTTAAAGTTATCAAATTCAGTCCCTTGGTGTGCGTGGTTCTTACATATGGCCCTGTGAAAACTACGGTGGGAAAATGGCTAACTCGGGGACCAGGAAAGCTGGGGCTGACACTTTTGGGTTATGTTCCCAGTCCCCGTAAAAGTTAAAGGCATCGAATTCAGCTCCCAGATATGTGTGATTCTCACGTGCAAGCCCATGAAAATTTTGGCAAGAAAATTGCTAACTCAAGAACCAGAAAAGTTGGAAAGCTGAAAATTTTAGCGGAATGTTTCCTGTCCATGTACCGCGTAGATAATCAAATTCCCGAATTTCGAGACCACGTGAAATCGAGAAATGAACCGTAGGTACGTGATATCAACTTTTACGGACTTTTGGGTCCCAGTTACGGACACGTGAAGGTTTTGGCAGGAAAACTGCTAATTTAGGAACCAGGACAGCCAGGGAGTTGAAGCTTCAGGCGGATGTTCTCCGCACTGTCCAAAAATTTTAAATCCAGCTTCTAAGTACGCCTGGTCTTCACGTACGAACACGTAGACGTTTTGGCGGAAAGTTTTTCAAATCAGGAACTACACAAAATAGCCGAAACTTTTGAATGGCACTCTTTGCCCATGCAGAATCTAAAAACATAAAATCCAACTTTAAATAATTTTCGTTTGCGGACATGTGAAAAATTTGATGGGTTTTTTTTTAAGACCTCTTCGATTTGACAAGCAGATAACTTTAAAGGCCGAAATTTTGCGAACATTTCGCTCATCTAAGTGCGGCACTGGAAATCCAAATTATCCACGCACGCCAAAGGCTCAGGTCCGGACACAAGGAATTTTTGGCGAGAAACTTTTCAACAAACAAGAAAGCTGAAATTTTAAAAATGTCTCCTGGAGACGTTCGATCTTGCAAATTTAAGTTCAACTTAAATATATTAGCTGGCCACAAAAAAGCACTAGGATTAACCTAAAAATTCTGCATAATGACACCCTCCACTGTGACACAGCTTTAGCATAAGAAGTACTGCTTGGCACCACATTCAGCAGATATCAATGTCCGCATGCGTACCGACAACTTTCTTTCCAAGTGCAAGACAGACAGGTTCAGTAACTTATAGCTTCGTTACCTAACAAAGAACAAAGGTGCAGAATTATTTAAGCAAAACAACGAAAAAGAATGAAATGACAGAACCTTCAAAACCAACGGAGGCAAGTGTGAAACAAAACTGAATTTCCGTCCGCCGCTTGTTTTCTTTCCATTTGCTTCATTCGGTTTTTTCATCGAAAACAAGGTTTGGAGCGCATTTGAATGTCCGTATAATTTCGAGCATTCCAATTCGTAGCTATTTCTTTTAGAAGCAGAAGTGGATGGCTAAAACTACTATGATAAAACTAGACTTGCCACAGAAATAGCAACCACGACAAAGAAGTTCTGCTAAAAAAATAACTTTGTTGTCATCCGTGAAACTACATGAATGTGTAGCAGTTTTCAGAGCAACGTCAGCTTCCTGGAACAATTCCAGTTCTTTGGTAAGATTCCCTGTTGATGACTGAAATGTAAAACGATTTCAGATTTAAGCAATAATAAAGATACAGCAGCAGCACCACTCTCTAATCCAAATAGTCAACTTTTACGGTCACACCTCAGATTTTTCTAAAGCTAAGATCTGAATGTCTTAAATATAATAAAATGCGACAAATATTCCTTCAAAAAAAAATGTTGTCGTCCGTGAAACTAAACGAATGTGAAGTCTCGGTATGCACCACTGGAGTAAGCAGGGAGTGAAGGAGAATTAAGAATTAAGCCACTATTTGGTCTTTATCAGCCCACCCTTCCTCCAGCACAGAGCAATTTGTTTCCAGGACTAGTACCAAATCTATCCTAATGTGCAGTCACATAGATGCACACTGGCGCGTAAATATTATCCACACGATTTCTGAAAAAAAGCAACATCCGAAAAGTCCACATAGTTTAGAAATTAGATACAGTTTGGATTCTTTCGATGAGGATGCAGTTGTTGGCTAGCAGCACAATATGTCAGTACTACATGCGCACTTAGGATACTAAAAATTTGATGCTTGTCAAAACCTATATGATAAAGAAAACTAATTGTCTTTCCTTTACATCTATGAATATCTTTTATTAGAAAAGTTAGTAGCAAATCCAGTCCATGATAAGAGCGAACGTGCTCAACCGAAACGACGTGCGTTTACTGTCAACTGCAAGGGTTTTAACGCCTTCAGGCCAAACTCGTATTTTTGGAGTCAATTTCCCCACTCAACTCTAAACAACCTCGATAATATTTCTGCATTTCTTTTAATGAAATTTATTTCTTTTTTTTTTACTTTTTATTTAATTTTTGTTATTTCTGAACTTCATCGGCAAAATTCTTTGCTTTCCAAATCTCTTTCTGCATTTCTTTTTTATATTTCAAGATTGATTATCAGCGGCTAGCGATGTAAAAGGCGTAGGAGAACAACAACACTTCAAGCTGTTTTGTCACTGAACTATTACGATTACAAAATTGAATAGCCTGCCCCTTCAAGCGTAAATTATTTCTCAACCGTCATTTACGACATACGACCCACCGATTTCAGTAGATTCCTGGATCCCGAACAACTTCGTTTCCGAACATGCGGCCGACGAGGCGCTTGATTGGCATCAGTACTCTTCCGTCGTTTTTCCAGATATTTCGGCATTTTCTTACTCGCTTTCGAATTCGCTGCTGGGCCTGCAAGATCAACAAACTGCCAAACAAACAGATCTTCGCAAACAAATAGTTTGCTGGGCAGTCGTTCGGCTGTTCGACTCTTTTTAACTTTTTTTCAATCAACGACCGAAACCACCGTAGAAAGAAAGAAAAATGCAAAAAACTGAAAAAGGAGAATAATTCATCAAAAAACGGCATTATAAAAGTAGCTGATAGATGCTAAGTCCATTATACGGCAAAGTAATACATGGACCAGGTAAGAACGCGTGCCAGAGTTGCAAGTGCGATCATGCGTTTTTTTTTTGCACAACGCAGATGCAATTCAGTACTCATTCAGACGAGCAGAACTAAAGTAATCCCTTTGCGACTAGTTCTGGAGTCGGCACGGTACCAGCAGTGAACTTTGACGTGTCTGCACGCGCGTACAAGCTTGTGTGGTACCTGAATTTGAAATCATCAGAATACATGTGGACAGAAAACACACTTGCAAAGCTTCAACTTTCTATGTTGTCTGATTCTCGGAACCGTTTTCCCCCAAAAACATCTGCATGCATTCTTTTAGGCGTCCATACGTGAAGCCTAGGCATAAGTGAGCGCTGTAGTACCTGGCGTGCGAATACGCTCATAAAATTTCCAATTTCCTAGCTTTTTCGCTTGCTGAGTTAAAAGTGGGTGACAGAGTTTACTCGCTTCCGAACACACACACACACACACACACACACACACACACAACACACACACACACACACACACACAAGAAACCTGACAGTATGCGTTTTTGCATTTGCACAAATATGCGAAAACGCATGAAGCGGCTACAGGAATTGCAAAATGAATCAAATCTATTGCAGAATTGGGCAAAGCGTGTCACTTTGGTTAACAGTACCACACTAAACATGCTGGGCATGCCACATCGAAAAACCATTATCAAGAGTTATAGTACTGGAATTTTTGCGATCGGGTAACGAGTTTCGAATGAAATCTTGAATACATCAGAAATACTGCGGTTCGGAATGTTACACTGAGTGTTCTATAAAGTCTATCCGACCAGCAGTGAGTTGAAAACGTGTTAATGCGGAATGCTGCAGTAAGGAAAGCAAATGATCAGTTGCAAGTTTCAGCAAAGGATGTAGTGCGAAAATCCTCATGATGTATGTTTAAAGCAGATAGGCAAGGTAAGCAGCGTACAAAATACGGTAGCACCCAAGCAACAAAATCTGTTGAGCATGATTATTTTTTTGCCGATTCACTGATGCTACGTTACCTCCAGCTGGACGACATGATGATCGCACGTATACCTAGTGGGTGCCGAATTACAACGGGAGATAAGCTGACAAGAATAGGTAATTTTGGAGTAGCCGTGATCGGTGTGCTGCTTTTCAAAGCGTTGACAGTACTATCGTTTGGAAGATTTTAACTATATAAACACATTAACGATGAACGCATTCAAGCGATGCGACAGATTTTTTTGGCAGAACAGCTATAAGTCCTTGCATTAGATGCCTATAATGAATGAAAAGGCGTATGTCCCAGCAAAAAGACCTCTGGGCTCAAAAGGACCACAAGATTTTCACTATGAAAGCGGCACTAATTGCCAAAGCACCAAGCCTACCAGAAGTTTAAATTTATTGGACAAATTACGAAGTCTGATAAAAGACATATCTTGCAACCTTGCTGAGTGAATGAGCTCATCGAACTGCCACAGCCATCATCCATATTAAGCATTAACATTTTAGTTTTTTCCGGTATCTGCACTGTGTAATGGTCCAGCATCATTCGCTTCAGCTCCCTCATCCAGTGTCTTTTCTGATCCATACTTGTTGCCTACAGATGAAACCGAATTTTAAGATAAATGAAACCCGGAGCGACATACCAGACTTGCCGGTGCGATCATGCAGCTGTTCATGATTCCATTCTATAGATAGCACCTATACTATTTGTATCTGACTGCGATGTTGTAACTTGAACATTTGATGCACCTGCACGCAGGGCTTATGCCTAAGCAACAGCTCGTCATGTGCTTACTGGCCCGCACACGAACAGCAATTATAGTCAGAAAAACGCGGCTTCCTCCACGCTCTGATTACTGAGCTAACCCGGGGGAGGGAGCAGAGTTAAATGAGGGCAGCGGAGAGGTGCTTGGAAATAAAATTCACTCGCGGGTACACAAGACCTAGGTTTGCTTTAAAGCTGGGCTTGAAATATTTAGGTCATACTGGCACAGGATATCCTTGTAAAGTTTCAACTTTCCGACATTTCTAGTCGTTTTCTTTTGCAATTACTTTTGGCGTGTCCAAACGCGCGGAAAAGATGAACGCTAAAGTTCACTTTATGCCTAAATGCCCAAGAATGAAAAAAACAACATTCTTATGAAGTTATAGCGCTTTAATCAGCTTATTTCCCAAGTTGGCCTTTTGCTAGCGATGTTTCAATCTCAACTCTGAGATGCTCGTTACATGGGATTTAGGCATGCTCTAAAACTGAATTTGAAATCTTTAGTCCATGTAAAAACATAAAACATATTGTGAAATTTTAGCTTCCTAACTTGGCTAAATCGCATCCCCACAAAAAGATTTACATGTATTCTCTTAGATATCCGTACTTGAAACTCAGGCGTACCTGGATGACAGTATCAAAAAGGGGGAGCCGCACATGGGGTGGAAATTTGCTAACAAAAGTTTCAGCTTATTAGCTTTTTTGGCTGTTGAGTTGAAAGTGAGTGAAAAATTACGAACACAGATACATACACATTCACACAAAGACAAACTCTTACCACCATGTTTTTTTGCATTTACAACAGTAAGCAGAAAGACATAAAAACTGCACAAAATCGAATTTGTCTGTGAATAAGTCGTGCCAACGCACAAAAGTTTCCACATCAAATTCGCTCAAAACACGTCTCGCTCTCGTTATGTACCTGTTTGAACCTTCGTTGTTGAACTACCCGCCATGCTACTGATAACCGACCCCACGTCCAGTCAGATCATTATTTAGCTGTGCATTAGCCACGATGATGGTACAGTCACTGCTGTTACAGAAACCAAACACCACCACTGATCATCCAGTATCAGAAGTCCTCAGAACTACCGAGACGCTTCTATATAGAGTAAAACTAGGCAAAGTAATTTTTTTTTAGCGTTAATTGTCCTTAGCCAAGCTGTTTCCATTAGAAGCGCTCACTAAGACTGCGTGCCTATTCGTCCTTCTTTTCCCTACCCAGCCCCTTTCCCCTCCCTTTCTCCCCGCCTCCCCTCCACCTCATCCCTCGGGAGTGTCATCCACTAATACGCAAAAATTCAGCGTTTGCCAGTAAAACTAATGACGTTTCCCGATTAACCAATTTTATTTTTTTATGCTTATAGCGACAGTATGCGTTTCATCTTCTACGCCATTGCAAAAGTGATCTTCCTTGCCTCATTATTTCTTCCACGAATAGCGTATGTTCATAGTCTTTGGAAGTAGCCACGTTCTCAAAGACGAAAAGGTATATTAGCCACTGTAACAAAAGTTTTACAAAAAATGTTTGTTTTGCAACGTACCAGAAAAATGTATTTGATCATCGGGTTATCATATGAAAGGACTTGAAAAGCCAATGGATCGGAAGGCAGTGATTCATTTAACATCAAACTTGAACACTGAAAGGGCTTGAAATTTTAAAAAAAGCCAAGTTTTTTTACGCACCCGTAACTTTTTTTTCATTGATTTAATAGGATAGGAAATTAAGACTATTTGTGTTTTGTCCTTTTTCTGTTTTTAAAAGCTCTAACTTGACTGACTACGAACTACCAAAGCGTATATTCAAGCTCGGCTTAGTGCGCAAACTAACCCTACTACCATGCCATTATTAGCTGTTGCTTCGGGTCTTTCTTTAAAATAAACAATTCAAAATGCCTTTTACCTGAGACGGCCAAGATCAATTAAATTAGCGGTGAGGGGCACTGAGTTAGAAGTCATGCGCTATTTATTTTTTAAGAATTTGCTCAAGAATTCGCTCAATTCACGAACTGCAAGGATTTAGAACAGTTTTCGGAAGTGCAGCTACACTTCAGCCTCAATACAGAATTTCGTCACTAGAATGGGCAATTTTTTCGATACAGGAGCGCTGCAAATTGGTGGAAAGCTTTCTTATCTAGATACGCACGTTCGGTCGAATGAACTAAATAACGTAGGCTGGAACGCACCAGGCGAGCCGGAGCGATCATGCGTTTTTGCACAAAACTTGA